CCTCTCGATTTCTTGCGCCTGCTTCTGGTTTTCTCGCGCTTGCTACTCCAGGATTTCAGTGAAGTTCTTCTGCGTTTCATTCATCCTGCGCCTGAAGGCCTTCAGCATCCGCGCAACCTTGCGAGAGGACCAGTGTGACTGTCCGGGGAACATGCTAGCGCAGCCACAAGCAGGCCTGTTGCTCGTGCTTCTGTATGCGCTCCTGGGCACGAAAACACAAGGCCAAGCAGAGATGCTGGCGCGTCAGTCATCTGGTATTTCTTGTTGACAAACAGGAGCTTTGGGAACAACTGTCCAAGTGGAAGTTGTCCAGTATTCCTTCTCCCAAAAAACCTTTTGCCGACTTTTTTCTCGGCAATCATGGTGTGCCCACATGGAATGAATGTCAAGTCTGCGACCTCGCCGCGGGTGATGCACCCATTCCAGAGTTGTCTTGTCTGCAGCTTCTGAATTTCTTCCGCCTGCTGCTCGAGGACTTCACTCAAATCATGTTGAGCTTGATGCGCGGCTGGATTCATTCTGAGTCGGAAGGCCTTCTGCATGTGTGCAACCTTGCAACAACACGAGTGCGACAGTCCGGGGAACATGCTAGCTGTTGCCCGGGAGTTGAAAAAGAATCATGAGCAAAAGGCGTGCTTGCAGCTGTGCCGGCGGTCTCCTGGGCAACTTCTTCGAAAGTATACTGACTTGAGTCAGTACCTTCAAAATCAAATAGATCAGCGGTCTGCCCTGCCTGGGTCGCAGGCTCAGCCACACAGAAAGGGGACGACGCGCACGTGCAACTTGACCCTTCAAAGGCTGTAAATATATGTGAGTAAGCGTGCGGCCTGCGTAGCAGTGATCGTGGTCTCCACAAACGGGAGCTGGTTCGGCTGCTTGGCACAATTGGCAGCGATCACTCTGTCCTCTTGTAAGGAAATAGGAGTACGAGTAAGCGTTGCAGTTATGATCCATAAACGCTTCCCCCGAATATGAAAGCCGTTTTAATATTCAATACGGGTTCACCAAAATTCAAAATTCTGAAATCTTTCGCTCCGCGTGGCGGTCTCTGTTCCTTCAACATCAACATAAACAATGTGCTCATGCCAGATCACGAGACGTACAGTCTACAGAGCGTGCAGTGCTTAATACCACCCACCATTCTTCCCAACTGCCGCTCTGCTTGCCTTTGGCGGTGTCTGGTAGGAGTTCGGATTTGGCCGTAAATTCCTGTTGTGACATATCATGCAGCCGAAGTCGGCACACCAAAGCCTTCTGGCAAATCTAGCAGGACATTTGACAGAGAGTCTGTGGCCTGCACTGTGTGCAAGCCGCCTGCTCTTGAAATGGGTGTATGTGGGACTTCTTGGGTGAGAGATTGGTGAGGTTTCTCCAAGATCCACGGAGATATGCGTACAGCATGATGCAGAAGCCATTTCGGCACAGGGTTCGCGCATGTCGTGCTATCCACTAGCACTGAGAGCCAATGCTTGATTCAACGCAGGAGACAGTTCGCAGCATGTATTCGCATCATGTATCCCAGCCACTTTAGCTGGGACACAACTTCACCTTAACTATCGCCATCAGCACTATTATCGCTATCATCGTCATGAAGAACTACTAATACAAAGAACCACTGCCACAATTCGCCAAGATACCATTGCTTTCAGAACTGGCTGATTGTGATTCCGAGAAGTATTCAATAAGATTAACACAGTTCAAAAGTGTCCGCTTGATCGGGGGTGAGCGGTGGCCCAGTGGTTTAAAATACATCAAGTCATGAAGTGTCCAAACGGCTAAGTGCGGGAGTAAAGTTCATGATCTGCGCCTCCTATTAAAGCTATGCACCTTATCATTCCAAGATAGGGTAATGTGCTTCTGGCTGCAGCATAAACCTATCCTACAGCCTCAGCACCTTATCCAGTCACCCAAAACTAAGAACCGTGTGCAGGGCCGCATGTGGGGTGAAGGACGAGGTCTGAGGGATCAGGAGCAGTCCGCCCGGAAATTTCCAACCGAGACTGGGCCCTTGAACTGTGAAACAGATTGCAGGAGCCCTGCTACTAGGCTCATGGAAATCAGATGATATCCTTGTGGTAACTCTTGGTGGGACAAGGAACCACCATGAACCTCCAAGCACTTCGTATCGGTCGGGAATTTCTTTTCAAGCTCGCATTGGGGTTGGCTTCATCACTAGTGAATTACATGCCGAGACCTGCGCAAGGCCCATGAGGAGTTCATAAACCAAAACCCCAGGCTCCAGCAATGTCCTAGGATGCAGTTTTGGATGGTATACAACAAGGCAGATGGTGGATGGCAGCAGCTGGGGCAGTGCACGAATTTGGATGGACAAAAAACTAGTCGCACATGGCAACAAAAACCTCAAGCGGACATCTTCCAGATTGAATTCACGCACAGCAGACTGCAAATCACGACTCATGAAGGGCCGGCTGTTGTTAAAAAAAGGTCGATCAAGCTCCCATAGCCCACACGACATTCAAAGCTGAGGATCCGAAATGCAAATGCTGGGGAGGCTTTGCATTTGTTGCTTCAGGGCTTGGGGTGCGAGGCAAAATTTACCACAAATCTTGAAGCAGTTCTACGCGAGCCGGTGCGTGATGCTCTTAGAGCTTCGAGCGTCTGCTGGGCGGCTACCTCTAAATGTACAAGCAAGAAGCACTCAAAGCCCGCAAGCTTTTTTCAACTTCATGTTTGGAGTCTTGGAGATCCTACTGAAGTAACCTAGGCGTCCTGTATCCAAGGTTTTCCCAAGATTCACGTTTCAGTGTAAACTGGAAATTATTTTCTTGCCCGACTGCTGGACACCCCCTCCCCAAGTGAAAGGTTGCCGAAAGCAAAGATCTGCTAGTGTTCCCTCTTTTCAGGTCTTGGGCCTGCAGCACCCCGATTTTCCAACTTTCCGGCTATCAACTGAAATTGAAAGCCGATAAGCCACTATCTTTAACTGAGCGCCATTCATCTAGTAGACTCGATTAAAGAGCCGTGCTTAACAGGGCTCTGTGCTTTGGGGCGCGGAGTCTGGATCAGGCTGCAGCTGCGAAGGCACGACGAAGCCCGCACAGGAACCTCGACTTTGGGACTTTCAGGGCTGAGGCTGCTTGGGACTTCCCGGGGCGAAGGCTCCAGCTACCTACTACGATTCTGCTCAGACTTCCCATGATGCAAAAAAAAATTGCAAGCTGTAGTCCAAAACGTCGGACTCCCCAAGTACGTACCCCCTGAACCCTGAACCGGCTTAAAATGACCCCGAACATCCTCAAAGTGAGTGCGTGACAGCGGAATCGCCGCAGCGTTGGGTGAAGCCTGCTGCAGCTTGTGCATGGGGGAGTTCCTCCAAACCCGAGGCACCAGCCTAATGCAAGGGCTAACCGGGAGTCGTAACTGTCTGGATGCAAATTGCCATGCAGTGGACCGACTTTCAGATCACCTCAGCGGTGGTTCCGTATCTGGATTCTGATAAAAATGGAAACATTTAAACCATGGTCCACAATGACCCAAGGTAGAGGTGGGCGGCTCAATGGCCATTATGGATAGTTTGCAAAAGAAAGTGCCCTAGGGTTTGAAGGGATATGTAGGATTTACAAAAGGACTATGAAAGATTTTAGGGATTATGTGAATGTGGGGATCAAGTTGAAAAGCTGAAAAATCTAGTTGCCGTAATTACCTGAAGCAGGCAAGTCTCTGGGCTATAGTGCCAAGTATGGTTCCTTTCAGAAATGACGGAGCCGTATTAATGTTCTTAATACACCAGACATATCTTGAGGATATGCTCTGCGTGATCTGCGTGGTTGCTCTATAGACATGAACGCCTTGGATAAGGTAGGAGTACCATTAGAAGCTCAGCTCGCAGATTATTGGCGTGGTAGGTGCAACAACCTCTTGCCACAACAGGGATGCGATGACACTGCCGTTTTCGTGGCGTGATCTTGACTGAGATTCTTTGGGCTTACACGCTTGTGGGGGAATGGTAAAACAGGACGACAATCTTCGAGACCACTACACACAAAAAAATGGACCCCAATTTGCAAATTACCTCTATATCCCTGTGTTCCTTGAGCAAACCACGATTTTGAAGACCTGCAATCGCATTCAGATTGTCTGTGCTGCCTCGTTTAGTCTCTCCAGCAGTTCCGGCAACTCGGATACCTCTGCCAGGTGGACTTCCCAATGATGATGATGATGATCATCATCATCATCATCACCATCATCATAATTTGGTGCATGTGAAGGCGGATCAAGTCGTCTGTCTACAACTCCACGTGATGACACGCTAGGGTCTCGGGCTCAGGGTGTAGGGCCTAGGGCCCGCGCCGATGATTGGATGGTCAAAAACGGCAACAGACTGAGAGAGAGAACTCATAACACTGGCAAACCCAAGATACCTCCTGAAACGTGCCAGAAGCCTGCCTCTGGCGAGCAGTTCGAGGCAACATAGCCCTGGGCGGTGTTGCAACAAACACGGGGCGATCAATGTGCGCTAAAACCGAACCCCCAAAGCCCAAAGTCTGAGGGCCTAAGCTCCAAGCCCTAAACCCCAAAGATCTAAATTTCAAGCCCTATACCCCAAGTTCGCACTCAAGGGCTCCGGGTCGGAGCCACAGATCACTCTTTGAGGGAGAGAATTGCAAGATGGCAGTTGCGGAGGCGAACAAATCGCCATTTCTTTAAGGGGTTGGGGTAGGTGGTGAGGAACGTTGTGGAGTATTGGGGTTACTATGTCACCTACCCCGCCTAGACAAGCTTTTTTCAGGATCTTGTAGGCAGCTCCTGACAGAGGACAAACTTCAAAACGAAAGCCAAGCCAGCCTTGACTTTGCGACTCGAAGCCTACAGCTAACCCAAAACCCGAACGCTAGAGATTCAACAAACAAACAGCATAGCTTCCACGTGCCAGAACCATCTTAAATAGCAGCGAAAGACCACTCCATCAAAAACTGCCACCGTTGAAACCGTCAGTCCCTAAACCTATTTCTTAATCCTAACTCCTCATCCCGAAGCCCCTACGCTGAGGCCTCCTTGCCAAGGCCCAAGATAAGGGAAAACTCGCGGCCAGGATCGTCCTTCCAAGATCTCAAGGGTCCAGTTCAAAAAGCCCAAAACAGATAAAGCTCAAAGCAAACAAGAGCATGTGATTGGCATAGATCACGTGTCCATGCGCCACAAGCCGAACCTGAAAACCCCTTGAGGCTCTCAACCCTACAATAAAGCCCACACGAAAACAACAAATGCCTCAAATATCAAACCACTACAGAGCAAACGAGACTGAGACCTGGATGATGAGTGTGAAGGTCAGCCGGACCTTTGGCTGCAAAAGGTGGAAATTTAAGGTTCCGTGAAAGGGTTTGCAGGAGCTATGGCAGGCAGATAAGAGTCTACAGGGTTTAGGGCGTTTAGGGCTTAGGATTCCAAAAATTCGAATCTCCTCTTAGAAGGTCTCTATGAAGGTTACAACCCTCAGATTCAGAATAATAACAGGGGGGGGCCTAGCGGACCAGTGGATGAAAGCTAGCACCAACAGCCGCTGCAAAAGTTGGAGTTGTGTGATCAATGCTTTGACAAGACTAGCAGAATGCTTGCAAATCTTCTATTCAAGCAAAACTGTCTTCGGTCGAGCCAGGGACGTCAACATTGAAATTGCACCAGCAAAGAGACCGATAGCGCGAACCCGGCAACTAGTTAGTAGGAAGACATCCGTGAGGCATGATAGCAAGCGTGAATCTGGCAGAGCTTCCCACGACCCTCGATAAAGCAATATGCCGTAAATCCAAGCTGGATTTCTGACATGATTTTTGGCAAGTACATATTCCTCGTTCAAATGGACTTTCGACATTCTGGATATCCCAGCCCAAAAGTCTTGAGGCCAGGATTTGAAATCAAGGCGCTGTCTGCGTTGTGACCCGCTCGATGTCCAGCCCCAGACAGCGGCTGTACCTCAGCGTGCATGCCCTGCAAATCTTCACGGTTTAGGCTTTAAAATCCAGGGAGCTGTCGGGACAGATCGAACCGAAGGCAATCTGAACAGGAAGTATCAGCTTTCATGTTGAACACCACTACTGCAAAATGGAAAACCTTACAGACCTTGCATGTGGTGGCCCGGTGACGAGGCAATTGTCCTATAGGGTATCCTAGGTCCTTAACGCATAAACCAACCCTAATCAAGGAGATTACCGTAATCTAGTTACCCTGGGTAGAGCGAGATCTCCATCATGGACAATATCATGTTCTGAATGCCACTTTCTTCTTCTACAGGCAGGCTTGTTGGTGTGGCCTCTCTCTTATGCTTACTGGTGGTTGTGTCAATAATGTGAATAGGTGGTGAAGGAACAAGTTCTGAAGGTATGTCATGGGGGATTCTATACGAACTATGATCAGGATCCATGCCTCCACTTGCATGCCAACCACAAACAAAAATCGTAGCAAGAAGCCAGCATTTCTCATAATAGTCGTGGTAAGGATCATGTAGGCATGAGAATCTCCCAAGTTTCCGGCAAATAATAAAGCAGGAAGTTTCGGGTGGACAAGAGAAACTGAAGAAACAGACGAACAGAGGACCTTAGATAGTGCCCGGCAACTACCGCCACCCAGTCAGATATTCGGCTTGCCTTGCAATAAAATGCAAGAAACAAGGGGACCGATCTGTGGTAGCAAACAACAATGTTCCGCATCTGTAAGTGGGGCCATGTGGGTTGAATCTGGGAAATGCAACCAACATCTCATCCTTCGAAAAAAGAAATCCTAAAACGATTCCGTCGAGCCTTCCCGACTCAGCCACAAACCTGTTAAAGCCTCGTGCCCGAAAGAAGAGTGGGCAAAGAATAGAGGTGCTACTGTTGGGGGCGTACATTTTGGCTATAGGCGGGTCATTGTGGAAACCCATTCTTCGACTCCTTCTCAGAAGCCTCTTCAACCCAATTCTCTGACTCCGACCGCGCCAGGAAGTCACCGATGCCACTGCTTTGGAGATGTGCGGCCTTGCCATTAGGTTTGTATTACGGTTCGGGGTGACAGGATTAGGGTTTGGGTTTAGAAGCTTGGATTTTAGGGTTTGGGTTGAGGGCGCAGGGTCCAGGGTGAACGGCTTCGGGGTTAGGGTTGAAGGAATTGATGTTTCAAGACCGCCCGCAAATCCTGGGATATTTGCGGTTTCTCAAAACAAGGGGCAGCTGTGGAGCATAATATAGCATAACAATCGGGGTCCCCTTGAAAACTATGCAGGGATTGCAAAAGCTGCCACATCATCGCCTGAAACTGCAAGGTTCACCGTTTCCAAAAATCCCGTACACTCGCCCATAGCTAAGCGCGGGCAGAAACTGTCCAAGCCCACAAGCGCTACATTGCTAAACACTATCCCTGCTAGCCTGAATCCTTAATCCCAAGTCCCAGACCCAACCTCATAACCCCTATAGCCCAGATTCCACTTCATCTTCCGTTTGGTTTTCAATCTGATTCTTCAATGAACCCTAGCTGCCCAGTCCTCCTTCTTCCGCGTCAGCTTCTTCTCCTCGTCTCGCAGCTCCTTCATAGCGTGTCTAGTTCAGGTTTTGGGAGCATGGTTAACTCAGGTTTTCCAACTTACTGGTACCTAAGGGAAGGAGGGAGGGAATCTAGCGACAGGATCCTGCGAAGATTTGTGGAATTCACCAGCTTCTTCAAGCAAGTTTGGATCAAGGCTGATGTGATTTCAGAGGTGGTAATGCGAGGTGATGGCTTTTCAACATCAGGGCGTGGAGGTTGATTCCGAACATAGCTTCAATTCGCAAATCACAGTTCAGGCTCCAATGTCTTGCGCCATGCACATCTCTCAAAACTGCGCATGGTTCTTATGACAGAAACGCCTTGATTTGAGCGTGCACGAGGGGACCCACACGTTGGAGAGTTGTGCAAATCATGGGTTGTCTAATCAAAAAGAACAACTCCTTTGCACTCAACGACGGGTGCGGGCGAGCCTCCCCTGAGTTAAACCCTAAACAAAAGCCTAAACAGGACTCCTAAATCGGGGTTCTCCTTTGATGGACTGAGATTGAAATTCCCAAGACCTCCCTAAAGCTCCCTCCACAAGCTTCACCAAATTCCGCCCTTAAAATCCTTGACACACACTCCACACTCCAACTACCATGGATCCCTTGGATCAGTAAAGATCCCCAAATATTCCACAGCCGTCTTGTCAAACAAATTGCGCAAAGTCGAGCTTGCCCAAACTTTATCCATGTGGCAGCTCGACTGTACCCTCCACGAGCCTAACAGGCAACCTGAAGGGGGATCCGATGAAGAATATGAAGGCTTTGAATTGATAATGGTTACGGAAATGGTAGTCCTCTGTCCAGGTACCGGAAAGTGTGCGACCTGTGTTATGTTCATCTTGTCCTCCTTCTAAGCGAACATGAATGCCTGATATCCCACATTTAAAAAGAGTGGTCATCCTTTGTAAGGCCTGCCCACTTGCGCCTTGCGGCACTCCTCGTGCGCACTGTGCAAGATCTCCGCTGTGCTGGCCATGACCTCATGCTTAGCTGGACATGGAGGAATCAATAAGGATGGGTGCAGGGTAGAATGTAGCGGCCACTGGGCTTTCGAATGAGCTCTGCACAAAACAAAAAAAAGAGCAAAAACTTGCTTGCACTGTCCCAGTGAGCCTACAACTGCAGCAAAACAAGCTCGAGAAACTTGAAGAATGACATAAACTGATTCCTCACTTTTGCGGTGCACACACTATAGAATCCACTACAAGATCCTGTTCAACACCATTTTTTGCTTACATATCAGAGGAGCTTCTCCAGACACCGGCCTCTGCCCGGTCAGAAGCCGCCTTCATGGATTGCAGCACCACCTGCTGAGAAAGCCGAAACCCTTCTTTCCAAGTGTAAGAATGAGGCAAGCATGTTTTGTCTGGCGGAGTTCAGGCTTTAAGGAATGCTTGGCGGGGGGGGGGGGCCGCGCCTGCAGCTGTTCATCACAAAACTTGGAACAAGAATATGTCAACCATGTTATTTATGACTCTGACGAGTCCTTGCAGGGTTTAATAGGGCCTGTCATAGAAGGACCCCTAGTTTTGGAAACCTTCACACGACAACAAATATTTATGGAAAATAAACATGAAATGCGAACTTACACTGCCTCAGCCCTCCTCACCACGTAGGGAATCCTTAACTGGCCGAGAACACCTCAAAATCTAAACCATGAAGCTTCCGAACCCGAAACAAAAACACATCATCAAAGCCTGAAAAACGAAAGCCTCACAAAACTTCCGAATCTCAAACTTCTGAACCTTCCTAAGCCTAAAATCTAAGCCCCTACGTCCCTGAAGCCTCAACCCGACAAACTCCAACCACGACACTCCTGTAAGATCCCAGCTTCCCAGTTCGTTGCATGAATTTTTCATGTGCCGATTATCCATTCCCAGGCTCTCTTCACCTATCCCATATACCCTGTATAACCCTTGATATCTAGTCATAAACAAATATAAATAACCCGTATACCCTCGCATAAATCTAGACACAACTACACATACATATAAATAGCTATGTATGTCGATAAAGGTCTGCATATACATAACTACATATATGAAAGCATGTGCATGGTCACGCCCTTGCTGGCCCCCTCTCCCACCATGGTGGTCTCCTCTTACTTTCCTCCAATCCATCATCCTCCTTCCCTTCTTGTCTGCGAGGGTTTGGGGTGAGGTGTCAAGGATAACATGATGTCTTCATAACGGTCATCTCCTCTCCTTCCTGCAGGTGCGGGTTGCCGGGAGGTTTTTTGATGTGGAAGAAACACGTAAGGCACGTGTAGCTTACAATGGTATAGAGATAACAACATAAGGTACGGCCCTTATACGGATTTACCCAAATTATTTCCAGACATGTAAATACAGAGATGTCTCGTCATTCCAATAGAAATTTTGAGGTTTCGGAGGCTTTAGAATGCTCAAATTCAAAATTAAGAAGAGCCAAGGATTGTGTCCCCAATTCCCCAGGGAATTTGAAGGTCTGGCAGACAAAGTCGAATGCCAAAAGAAACCACAATCACAAATATGGCACCTTGCAGGTGCCATGTACCTGCTGCTGTTGGCACTTTTGAAATTGAAAACATCTGAAAACCACGACAGACAAGGAGAGTCCACGCTCACGGCGCGCCCTTTCCCCTAGAGAGCTAGATGATGCTCTCCATTCCTGAAACCCTGAACCTGCCTCTCCCAGCTTTGCACCCTCGCCTCGAAAGCGGCGAGCTGCCTAGTGGCACACACTTCTGGTGGACAGAGCTTCGGGTCCGAAAGATGCCTTCTGGTGAAGCGCGTATTTGTTAGCACCTACTTTTTGCAAGGTGTGAGTCTTCTCTAGGTGTTGTGGAGGGCGGCGTACAAGGTCAAGTCCAAGACCAGCACCACTCTACACAGGGGCTGACCTCGAATAACCCCGACAACACCTTTGAAGAGGGATTCACCGGATCCCTGTCAGGATTGGCTTCTCTTGAGCACGGACCCAGGACTGTCGGAACTGTTTACTGAGATGGAAAGCTGGGGGATTAGGCTTCAACCCCGAACCCTAACCGGGGGCTTCACGATCGTGATGCTTCCAGTTAAGGGGTTCAAGATTCCAGGAGGTGTGAAGTATCAGCCACCGTGACGCAGAGTTTTCTGGTCTGCAAAGACCCTCCTTCAGACCTTGCATGGGGCCCAAAAATCTTTTCACCAGTTGGAGGTTCAGGGTACTTAAAACCTGACGAGAACTGTCCTTTGCAACCCAGGTACAACAAAAAGCACACCTGGGTCGAGAGCACCCCACAACTTCTAAGCAGGCTATTTCACTCATGCTTATTTGGGATTGAAGGAGGGGGATTGTTCGGATGATTGCAGGGTTCTTTGCACACTACCATGGAACCCTAAACCCTAAACCCGGCTTATTAGGCATATCATAATTCACTTGTGCTATCTAGAACAGTAAATACAACAGACTGTAGCATGCTACTGAGCTGGTTACAACTTAAGTTTGGCGTAGTTTCCTGGAGGCAAACCGGAGCTAGCTGTGATTTCAACAGGGCTTTGGAGTATACTGTAGTCACAGAGATAAAGCAACAATAAAACTGACACAGGAATCGTACTTATGCTGATGTTAAAAGTATTGATGGAAGCAATACTTCTAGTAATGAGAACCATAAGCACAGGAATATATAGTGAGAAAACATCCAAAACCCATTCGGCCTCGGTCAGCTCCTCCACTGCTACCAGGTCTGCCTGAGGCTCGAGGTTGAGGACTCTCTAGAGAATCCTAGTGTTTAGGGTAGGTTGGGGCCCCCACCCACTAAGAGCGACCACAAGAGGCAATGGTCATTGTGTTAAGGTCCGCATACTTTCCTAGTATACCACAACTGTCCCAAACCAAGGTACGAGGTTTAGGACTTCGGGATTCGGATACTGGAGATTCTAAGATTTAAACGCCCAAAAATACTACGGTCCTGATGAGGACCCCAAAGAAGGAGCCCAACATTTGGAAATTGCCATACGGATTCTCGACAAAGAAGCCTCACATACGAACATGGAAAGGCCCATTACATACCAGCTGCAAAAAAAGTTACGGTAAGCATGCTGTACAATAATTTTGCAGGGCCTCAGAGTAGCCCTTGTCATTAAACCGCTGCCCTGTCTGCAAGTGCAGACAGCCCTTCAAATCCAAATGATTAATGGAAGCTTCACCCAAGATTTTGCAGACATCAACTTGCTACGAAACGCCGTGCAAACAACACATCTGTAGAAACGGGCAGAGGAACCACAAGGCGGTCTCTTTGAGAAAGAGCCAGTTAAATCAAGAATCGCAAGCTAGCCATGTCTTGAGAGATCCCGTAGCAAGCGCACCAACTAAGACCTAACTTACAAATCTAGACTGGGTAAAATGGCTTCTTATGCTACGTCGACTCGAAACAGAAATGATGTATTTCTCCTTGAACACGCTACGGAGTATTGTAAATGCCAGGTGAAAGGCATGCTCCCTGGTCCCCCTATCCGGAACATGAACCCAAACCCTAACTAGGGCGCATCTACAGGAGGCTCCCAATCTTCCACATTGGGTTTCTGGAAAATGTTGGCATGCCGCAGACCCTGAGACTGGAAACATCCTGCCAAGGGCATTCAGTTCGTTACAGGAGTCTGTAATCAGGATTCCATGAGACATCTCATATGCACTTATGGCGGCCTGCAGGTCGTAGAGGACATCCTCCTCTCGCAGGATGTCCTGCGACTCCGACGTGTACAGGGCTTATAGGCATTCAGGTAGGTTCAGAGGGCTGAGGGATCAGCGTTGAGGGCTTCGATCCTGCCACTTGGAACTTCTTTCCATTTCCCAACGGTCAGAGAGTTCGGACTGGAGATATGGGTGCTGGGAGGCTTGGAGTTTGAATAATAATTTTCGGATTCAAGGTTCTTTGGGCGAGTTCGGCGCCATAGAAAAAACACGTTCTCAACAATCCCTTGCGTACACTCGTGTTGCAAAGACACCCAAGAGCAAGAGCAAAGGAATGCACAGCACCCGCCAAAGCTTCAGATATGATCCTGCATTCATCCTGAACCCACACACGATACCCCCGACCTCAGCCCTCAAGACGAAGAAATTTACCGCAAGTACGACGGCACCCAAGAAAGAAAAAACATATCCTAACGTCCCAAATCTCAAACCCCAGAAAACGAACACAAGGGTTCGACACAGGTTGTTAAAACATGCTGACAATTCTAAAGCTCTCCTGGAGGCCCTTCTGAGCCACGGAGGAGATTGCCTGACTGCGATCCTGGCGCTCAAACCAAAGCAATATCCCAAAATAAAGCTCCCCACCATTGCGTAGACGCCCTGAATACCTGCAAATACTCTTCTCTTGTAACCTTCATGTAGCTGATGTACTACGGAACTCCACCAACTTAAGCCCTTACATTACCTTCCATTTAGCTTACCCACTCAACTGCATCAGGCCTTGCTGGAATGGATTCGAAACTTGAAATCTCCACGGCCATGAGTTGCAGGGGATGTTGAGCTTAGCTGAAGGACAGGCAATGTTCCCCATCTAGTTGCTGGTGATGAGGGCCTAGTGCCAACTGTGCTGTGTCTGTGATTCTCTGCATCATCAATGGGATTTGAACGAAGCGCGTGACTAAGACATGCGAAGAACCGTGCAACGTCTGCCTTTAGTATCCTGAGGTCGGTTACCTCCCCACACATCTTAGCCTAGGGAAGCACACGCAACCTGTTGCTTCAAGCATAATCCCTCAGCACAGGAGTTTCGCAAGAAATCCCTACTGCATCTCAGGGGACCGCCTTCATCTCTTGGACTCCGCATATACACTCGGGTCCCTGTGGCTGTTCTCGGCAAAAAGCCATCTCCAATCCCTGAATCCTAAACTCCTAAACCCTACAGTTGATAGACTAAACCCTGCATGACCCAAGTTAACTTTGCCACCATAATTCTCAACGTACGACGTACAAGGTGCCTTGGGTCATGCAGTCATGACGGCTTTTATTCCCCCCTAGCAACCCGATAAACCCTCCCTCTATTCCTTTGCTCGGCATCCTTGCGCCAGGAAGCCACCCTCAGCTGCGAAGTAGCACAGACCTCCCAACAAACCGGGAAACTGCAGGTGCGTAGCGCGCTAGGGATTAGGGCGTCAAGCTATTGTTACTGATAGGATTTGGGGACTTAGCAAAATCCATGCTTGCCCTGACCAGAACCCTGACACGTTCTGCTTCTGGGCTCTTCCGCTCGGTCGTGAATTATGACACCGCCAACGCAGGCTGCGAAAAGCGGGTTCGGTGTTCAGGATTCACGCTTTGGGGTTTGAGATTTAAGGTTCAGGGTGTACCGTTGGGGGTTTGCGCTTCTGGCCATGGGTTCTCTAGTGACCGCATGTTCTCGGCGATGAAGGTTATTGTCAATATTGTAGTTTGGCATAGTAAGATGGAACTTGTAGGTTTCGGTGTCATCCGATGAGGTTCTCTCTTTGGTATGGAATACTGTGACCCAGCGAGAGTCATCGTCCACAGCAGGTAAAACCCTGATGGCTGCAAGGGCACAAAACTCTGCATGCGCGGGGAAAACGCATCGAGAAGCGCACAAAGTGGCCAAAGCTCCATGCCGACACTGTCCCAAAACTAAAGTCTCTGAAACCTATCAAAACTGAGCTAAGCTCTCGACGCCAAAACAAGCACCCTAAACAGTAAATCCCGAACGCAAAAACCGGAAGCCAAACAGGATTTGTTCAAAAGAAGTCCTTATACAATCCTCAAGGCAGACCCTTAAAGCAGCTTCATGCTCTCCATATGTCACAAAAATCGCTAAGACCCTATGGAAAACTTCCCAGCCTGAAACCTTAAACCATAAACCCCAAGCCATGATCCGTCGTGAAGGGCCCCTTCCCGCCAAGGTCCGCAGTCATGAAGATCTGCGCTCACGTGGCCCCTTCCCCAATCCAACCCTAAGAGCCATACATGGGGGGGGGGAGCTGCACCACATATCCCAGTAAAGCTGCTTGAAAGACCTCCCCGTTTGAATATCCCAGCAGAGGAACAGAAGAGCCCGTGGCCTCCTCCAACTTGTCGCTGCATCCCGGGCCACAGGGGAGTGGGGAGTCCTCTACCTTGCAGCCGGCAAGGTATGTGGGAGTTTCCAAGATAAGGGGGTTCCTTATACAGGGACGCCAAAACAAAGAATATTGGAGGGGGTATTTGACGAGGACTCCCGTATTCTTCAAAATCCCATTGTCACAATCACTCTGTCAGATTGAGCTGAGTCAAGCGTCTTGGTCCATTCGAACCCTGAACCTTCTAGCCTGGCAGCGTTGTCTACGATGCCTCTCCTGAAGCAAAGCTTCCACAATCCGCGTTGTAGGATGTTGAAGCTCTGAGAGCAGGATTTGTTTCTGGAAGCTTTTACGGTTTGGAGTTTGGAGCTTTGGGTTTAGGACTTTAGGTTCTTCTTCTGAGGATTTCCGGTAATTTGAAGGTTTCAAGGTCCCGGCTTTGCAAGACGGTATACAGGTAACTGATGAAGAAACCCAGATTCCGGCATCCACAGGAAGCATTGCAAGCCCGCGAAGTCAGCCCAACAAATTGAACTGCAAAGCCTACCCACTAACATGGAAACCGACAAAGGCCTCTTAAGACCAACGTTCTCTCGGAAGCGGCGCGGAGTTCCACATTATTGCGAGGGAATGTTAACCGTGACCCACGACCTACTTTCAGGTCGGCAGTTGCTGAGAGCCTCGAGAAGGAGGAAACAAGGATATTGGTAAAGCCCTGAGAGCCCCTAAATCCTAAACATCCACACCCCGGAACCCCAATTTAAACCCCATAAACCCCATGATAACCCCTGAAAATCCAAAGCAAATGTGCCTTGGCCGCACCTTTGGCAGGTGACCGATAATCGAAGTCGAATGGCCGTGTCGGACGGGCGGGAGAAGGCGAGCAAGCGACTGGCCCCAGCTTGAAATTCACCACTCGTGGATGTTTATTGTATGTTGTAAGCCAAGCAGGGTCACGCATACCCCTCACTGGGTGAGTGACTAAAGCTGTCCTACCCAGACCCCAATTGATGCAAGGAATATGAGTTTTCGCCAGATCGGTGACCCTTACAAACTCTAGGGATGTATGGAGACTGTAGTGAATAATGAGGACTTGGGAGATTCCTCTCGCATTGTATGGGGACAATGCTGAGACCCACCATGTACCATTGCATCTCACTTACTTACTGAAATTCGGGCTCTCGCATACATGGAAGATTTGCTAGGCGGTACAATCAGTAGGCTAGGGTGATTACCGTTGTGCTCAGTTGGCTTTGGGTCCCCAGGAGCCAAGGGCCGGAAACCCAAATGCCTGATGAAACTCCACCCACAAAAAGCCGCTGTGTCATTTGTTGGGTTTGGGTTTTGGAATTTAGGGCCTCACATGGCTTGACTACGAGCGCTGGATATGCAGAGTCGCGCCTGCGGCCGTCATTGTCGGTGCCAGGCACAAACAGGCAGGATCTACGAACACACAAGGCTGGCCCCTAAGAGCTCAACGGCAGGCAGACAAGGACAAGGTTTGGCACAGACACTACTGTAAGGCATATTCAAGCTTTTTCTCACTTGTTTGACAGTAGGTTAACTAGACTGACGGACTGAGAGTATCAGAACAAGCAATACGCAGCTGGTAAATCATGCCGCCATTCTTTCAAATGAAAACTCCAGGAAGGGTGACGCCTCCCATCATGCAAAGATGCGGAAATGTTCCTACTTCAACAACTGACCAATTTAGCACATGACAGAGGTGGAGTGGAGGTGGAGGTTGCATGCCGTGGTGCAAGGCATAGACGGATGCCAAAATTCAGAAAACTCGTGCAAAACGCACGGCAGTCTGCCTGTCTGGCAAACGTCCAAAAGGCGCAACTAGCTTACACACGTGCTCTGCTACTTGCCTGCGCGATTTCACGATAAATATGATATGATGGTTTGGAGAGTAAGTCCAAGTGGTCCTCATTTCTGTTGCAAGGACCTCATGAAACAAATCGACATAGGTACACCTACGATTGATGCCAAATGCTACGTAACCCTACTAGCATCTTGGAGAACAAGCTCGATGCAGAAGCTTACTGGGTCACGCACTCAGACAGGTACTCACACTCCCACAGGCCAATCAGGTCAGGCTGCATTCATGCACAGAGCTTCAGAAGCACACGCAGATTAAGGACATTCAACCCTGAACCCAAAATGCTCACGGGTCGATAAGCCTGGCAGCAAAATTTGGAACCAACATGGATCCACGACGTGCGGTCTGCAGACTTGCGCAGCAACTGCTTGTCAGGATGAGGCTTCAGGTTTGGGGTAGACCTGCTTTAGCCGTTTTTTTTCCAATGCGCAAGCCTTTGTCAGAAAGGCCGTCAGCCACGACAGTTTTCAACTACGTTGTTTTTTAGGAGAATTATGTACTAATCTAGCCCAAGCTC